CTAGACTGGATGGTAGAGGAGGGAGGTCAATGAGTATCAGCTCTGGCCCTGGGACTAGCTCCTGTGGTGAGGAGTGTAGTTCGTCATACTAACTTTCTTTTTTTTCCCCTTTGTTTTAATTAGGGGGGGGGGTATGCAGAAGGAGAGGAAGAGGGGAGGGAGAGGGAGAGAATCCTAAGCAGGCTCCACAGCCAGCCTGGAGCCTGACACAGGGCTCGATCTCACAATCCTGAGAAATTAAGAATGGGATACTTAGCCAACTGAGCCCGTCAGGCGCCCCACAAATTTCCCTTTTTAAAGTTTCTTCCAGGAAGAGAGGCCTGTGAGAACCTGGAGGGGCTACCTGTGGCACCCAGATGGAACATGTGGATCTGATTAGCATAATGGATGGACTCTGATAGATGCTGACCTATTGTCTTCAAGGTAACAGGTAAAAAACATATATTTTAATCTGCATTCTTTTGATTGACAATGATTCAAACTTTTTTTGCCCATGTGATCATTGACCAGTTAGATTTTCTATTTTTCAATTGCTTAGGTTTTTTGCCTCTTTATCTTTTGGGGTTTATTGACTTACATAAATTTTTAGTGTCTTAATGACTTACATAAACGCTTTATTGTAAAAAAGATATTTACTCTGTAATTTGTTACATTTATCCAGTCTTTTTTTTTTTTCATTTATCCAGTCTTATGTCTGCCTTTTCACTCTGATACCTTTTGATGTTTGTCCATGTCACTGCATTTCTTAGGGAGGGACAATGGCAAGGCCATGGTATCAGGGTGGGGTGTGAAATGAGTGAGTCCTGATGCTGTGGGTTTAGGAGGATCCTCCAAAACGCAGGCTTCCTTGAGTTCCCTTTTGGCCCAACCAGGCCCACCCCTGTGGTATGGAGCCCTACAGTAAGTCTTAGCCCCACAGATCTTCAATCTCTCATTGGGGTTCTAATTCAAAAGGCTGGACAGCCAGAACCACTGACTTCAAGCATCATGTGCTATTAAAACAATGCTTCTGGGCCACATCTCCCTGGACAGAGCTCTTGGGACATGAGTTGGGCACAGATCCGGGCTGATTCACCACCCTTACCACACTGCTTTGGCCAGTGCCATCCTCTTAGGGCTCTGCCTGGCTGGACCTTCACCTCTTCCCCACTGACCAGGCATTGTGGATTCAGCCTGCCTCCTTTTTTGAGTTATGTCAAGTGAGTTAGCTCTGTGGATTTCTACACACTTACCTGAATGCTGACGTGCTGCCATCTGTCCAAGCATAAAGGTCCTGGCAGGCTGTGCTGTTGCTTTGTCTCTCCTCCCGCCTCCGGAGCCCAATCCAGAAATCACCATCAGATGCCAGGAGGTTTTCAATGAACTTTTCTATCAATCTCTGTTCATCCTGAGACTCGATGCTAAGGAGCTGGCCCCCATCTGTCCTGCAGGCTGCGTTGGCTTCCTCAAAGTTCAGTCTTCGAGAAGCATCATGGAAGTAAATGACTTTATAACAAGGCCTTTGTGTCCCTTCCCGGCAGACTGGCTGTCCTAGAGAAAAAAGAAGCCAAGCTATTTCAGTACTCCCAAAAGTATACCAGGGCAGGGATGCTCGGGGGCAAGTGAATGAAGCTACCCCTGGGCAGGAATTCTGATTACTCATCTGTGGACTGTATAATGTCATTTAGTGCCTGAGAGCAAATTAATATCCCTCCCTGCATCGAGATGCAGTAATTTCAACTCTGATGCCTGTATTGTGTAGGGACTCCATGTTTTGTTTGCTCCATTACAGATTCTTCAAGAGCAGACATTTTTGACTATGCTTTAAAAGAGAGGTAGCTGAAGACTTATGGTTTCACTTAAGGTCACACACATATAGCACTTTCACCTCATCAGGAAGTCTCAGGGGACAGTATTGTTTAGAGTGAGTTATCTCTGGTGCTTCCTTAGGTAAGAGAGGTATTCTGAAGTTGGCTGTGGGTTCCTCTATCCTGGAACCCTCTGCCTGTGTAGTAGGACCAAGATTTCGCCCATGCTGTCCTGTAAGCAGAAGCTAACAGCATCCAGTCGATGGGGTTTTCTGCTCTGAATGATCTCGCCGAAAGACACAGTTAAGGTTTACTGAACTCTTACCACATGGCATGAACTATGCTAAGGGCTTTTACATTTACATCTATACTTTATCTCATTGAACCTCACAGTAATCCCCTGATGTAGATATTGCTTATGCCCCATTTTACAGAGGAGAAAACTGAGGCTCAGACAAATTAAGTAATTTGGCTAAGGTCACATAGCTATTGGTAGCATCACCAGAGTCAGAACGAGGTTCTGATTACAAAGTCAAACCTGTAACTGTTGAACCGTGCTGCCCAGTTGCCACTCCGCTGCAGTTCCAGGCTGCGTTGGGAGCCTATGTAATATGCCTTATCCAACTGATACCTGGAAGGCTGAAAACCATCTCCGACGGATGGGATTCTACTGAGGAGGAGCAAATTGTTCACCGGTACATGCGCCCCTAGCTTGCATCTGGGCAAAGCCTTGCTGTGAGCAAACTTCGTTCCATCAATGTATATTGAGTGTAGGCTCTGTGGCTGGCACTGTGCTAGATGCTGGGACTATAGAAACAAAGGCCAGGGACACCTGGGTGGCTCAGTGATTGAGTGTCTGCCTTCAGCTCAGGGCATGATCCAGGGATCCCAGGATTCAGTCCTGTATCAGGCTCCCCACAGGGAGCCTGCTTCTCCCTCTGCCTGTGTCTCTGCCTTTCCCTCTGTGTCTCTGATGAATGAATAAATTTTATATATATATATATATATATATATATATATATATATATGTATAAAAGAAACAAAGGCCAGTTCCTAGCCTGCAGAAACACATGCCCCTGGACCCAAATGTACAAGTGAAAACCAAATTTCAACAAAGGAAGTCCCTTGCAATGTAAGAGCCAGATTGTGGGCTGTGGGTGTGAACTGCTGCCATGGAGAAAGGGATGAAGGGTTTTGGTTTGGGAATCTCTTCCCAGCCCTCAAGGAATGTTCTCATTTTCCTAATTTGTTTTGCAGCCGTGTGGGGAATCAGATAGCATTTATCCCTATACTGACCAGTATATGGGGGCAAAGGCTGCAGACAGTTAACTGCATTTTCAGTGCTGAAGGGGAACAGCACATGCAGATAATCCAGGAAACTCCCAAGAAGTCTTGTTTCTACTGCTTCTTTTATCACTTTTGTAAAGAAATTCTCAATAAGCAACAAGTTTAAGAGTTTTGCATCTTCTCTCTATTATTCATCTGCTCTTCCTAGAACTCTAACAGGACTGGCTCATCAGCAAATTAAGAGGCCTCAAAAGTACGACATTTTCACTAAGAGGGTGTTCCAGAGAGAATGGGGGCCCCTGGCCAGAGAGGCTGTGGCTGGCACACTGCCTAGGGAGAAGACCCAGCCAGCCCAGCTATTGTGATTCCCTCATGGTGACTCCAAATGGGGCAGCAAGAGGGAAAATGAGCCTCAGGTACCTCCAACCTGGTACACCGGCATAACATAAGGTGGAGCTGAATTTACTGGCAGTCCCCAGTTTTCTACCTTTGGTTTATCAAGGGAAAACATAACACCTTAAACGGGTTTCCTGTATGGTCCAGCCTGGCCACACTCTGCAAGTCAGCCGGTGAGTGCCAGAGAGAGCCAGAGCTGGAAGGATGCCTGAGGCGCATCTGGTTCCCCTGCCTTCAGGAAGTGTCTTTCTCTTCTCATTTGCAGGAAGGGGAAGGGCGGGGGCTTCTGTTCCCCACGACCTAGGACAAAGCCCATGTAGCCCTAACCTAGGCAGCTTAGTTCAGACGCACCCCCCCCTTCTGCCGCCTCGCAGCCCACCCCCATTCCGAAACACACTTTAGATCCTTTCTATCAGCTCTGCAAGCACGGATAACGGAGTGGAGGCTGTCATTCTCCATCCTCTGTGGGCGGTCTGTCCTCGCCCCGAAGACCTGAGAAAGAGGCACGGACATCCTCCCCCCGACATGCAGAATAAATAGAAGAGGCAAGAAGCCAGAGCACTGTACCTCCTCTGAGGTCCAAGTCCGAGGCTGCATTGACACGACAGGAGGAAGGAAGCAGAGAGTCATTCCCCTGAGTCAGGCGGGGCTTGTCCCGCGCTAACGGGGCTTCTTTCTGGATCTCTAAGCGCTCTGCTCCAGAGCTGGATCCCGCCATCCTCCCCCCACAGAAGAGACCAGGAGCAACAGGCTGGGCTCCCACCGCACAGCCGATCCAGAATCCCCACCGTCCCCGCCTCCTCCCGGAACAGGAGACCTCCCGGGTGGGCGGGAGGAGGGTCGGTGAGCCTGTCCCCGCGCGGGGGTCCCGGCAACTGTTGCGCCACGCTCGGTGGGGCGGGCCCGGGGGACGCCTCCGGGGACAGTGTGCCCACTGCCGCACCTGGCCTATGTGCCCTAACGCCCGGAACTCTGGGCGGGGAGCGGACTTGAGGGTTCCAGGATCCGCAAGGATCCGCGCCGGTCTCAGCCAGCCGCGGGGCGACCGCTCCCCCACCAGCAGGCGCGCGGGAGGGGCGGGGGGGCTGGGTCCGCTAGCGGAGCCGGGGACGCCCTTCGCCTCTGCAGGGGGCAGGAGAAGAGGTGCTGCGGGCTGGAAGGCGGCCCGCAGCGGCTGGGGAGCGGCGGGCGCGTCTGCGGAGCCCTTCGGGGACCGGCCCCCGCCCTAGCCCTCGCCCCTGCGCGCTCACTCACCGCTCAGCAGGCGGCCGGTGGCGCCCCGGGGCCCCGCCAGCAGCGCGGCCAGCAGCACGGCCTGCAGCGCGGCTCCCGGCTGCATGGCCCGGCTCGGGTGCGCCCTCGAACACCGCGGACAGCGCGGCGCCACGGCGCTGGAGCGGACCGACCCGGGGCGGCGTGCGCGGCGACTGCAAAGGCGGCGGCAGCATCTCCCGAGAAGCCCGGGACCCGGCGTCCGGTGGAGGCGGGGAGGGCGCGGAGCCAGCGCACCGCCCCCCGCCCCCTGGGACGTCACGGAGGGCAGGGCCCCCCCGCCGCCGGCCCGCCAGCGACCGCCTCCTCCAGCGCGCCCGGCGCGGCCGACCCGGCCAGCCCGGGCAGCGAGCCGGGGAGGGGAGCCGGTTCCCGGCGCTCCCCGGCCTGCCCCCCCCCCTCCACGCGCTTTCCACAGGGATCCTGAGGTTTGTTCAGGGCGCGGGGCCGAGTAGTAATATCCCGGTCTGACTTCTCTGAAATCTGATGAAGAGAGCACTGCAGCTAAACCCGGGGCCACATCTCCACCCCACTCCCCGCCGAAATGGCCAAATTCACCCGGGACCCTAGGCTCCGCAGGGTCCGTGGGGGTGGCGGGCGCCGACACTCCGTGGCGCTCGGCAGGCTGCCGGCCAGGTGCTCAGGGCCACCCCTGAGAGGGCAGTGGTGGATGCCGAGAAGAGATGCTCAGGCGAGCGGTGTGCCACAGGCCGGACGGGTACGGGACGGTGTGGCGAGCGTCCAGCGAGGTGGCTAAGTTGGAGCTCGGGCTGACAAGAGAGTAGCCCCAGCCGAAGCCACAGGGCATCTCTGAACTCGGCAAGGGAAGAATCCTGCTCTTCTCAGGGGGCCTGTTGGGAGGTGGGGGTGATTGTCCAGCCCTGGACCCGCGCGCAGCAGGGAGAGGAGCCTCCCGAGGGAAGAATGATCCCTTCCTCACCAACTCAGCCCTCAAGGTGTGTTCCCTCTTCTAAACGGCCACCGCACCCGTGTTTCCATTTGCTTTTTGCGATAAACACAATGTTTTAAAATATACTCAAATAATAAAGTGAGCCTCCCACCCCAAAACTAAAGCATTAAGTGGAAGAAGGTGGGTCTGATTTCCTTGCCTCTTCCCCCCACCATGCTTCTGTGAAGCACTGCTGAAGCCAGGTCGGGGCCTCTGACTCCTGGGCTTTGGTCTCAGCTGGAGCCACTGCACTTCTAGAGGAAGAGGGCTGGGGCAGGGAGAGGGTGGGGGGTGGAGAGTCGATTTCAGTTATCAGCTGATAATATAGAGAAGTCCTGCTACTGAAACCACGAAATAAAGCAGCATCAGCAGGATGAGGCCTGACCTTTAGGGCAAGCTGATTTACAGTTCGTCCTTATGTCTGAGTTGGAGTATCTCATATCCAACATGCATTCTTTCTAGAAACTCCTGGTTCTCAAAACAAAGAGAGGACTGCCATGGTAAGGGAAGCACTTGAGTTGGCATCTGATATTCTGCTTTTCTTCACTTAAAGTCTATGTAGCCTTTGGCAATTCCTGAGTCTGAGTTTCAATTAACTCTTGATGTTACCTGAAGAGTTTTGTGCTGTTTTGATGGGGCAAATACACATGTAAGTGTGCAGATAGCTGGTAACCTAGTGTCACTTGAAAAGGATGTATTTCCAGTATCACAATACCTATTACAGCTTAGGGAAGCTGTTGCCTTGGCCCAAATAATTAAATTGTGCCGAGTTCTCCCTTTGATACTCTGGCCCACAGTGCCTTTGTTAAGGTATGTGGTCAACTTAATTGTGCTAGATTATAATACCAACTCCAGTTCTGGGCAGGTCCTGTATTCACACCCTTTACCTGTGTAACTTTGCAATTCTTCTAAAGGGGCTAAGTAAAAAGGACTCTAACAAATTGTGTTATTTTTTAAAGATTTTATTTATTCATGAGACACACACACACACACACACACACACACACACACACACACAGAGGCAGGCTCCATGCAAGGAGCCCGATGTGGGACTCTAACCTGGGAATCTGGGATCACGCCCTGAGCCAAAGGCAAATGCTCAACTGCTGAGCCACCCAGGCGTCCCTGTCCACTTCTTTTAGTAAGAGTCTTGAATGTTAACTAGCAGATGATCTTCCATTTAAAGACTATTTGCCAGCCTCCCTTGCAATTTGGTTTGTCCCTGTGTTTAAGTTCTGACCAGTGGCTCACCCACTCCTCTGTGGGTGCTGTGGGGTGGGAGCTGCATCAGATGGGGGTTATGTCCAGAAGTGGTAGATGGGGGCTGAGAGCAAAGTGAATGGTGGTCCTCCAGAGAGCTGGGAGCCTCAGCAGAGCACTGGAACAGAGCACAACCCTGAGGAAGACTGCCAGTTACACAGCACAGAAGGCACAAATACTTCACCTTCTCTTTCCAAAGGGAATGACTGTTGAAAATGAGGTAGGCTGGCAATGAGATTATGCATATGTGTGTAAGATATAGGAATGTTAAGCCAGCTATTAACAGAACTAGAAATAATTTATGGCTTCAGAGACATGATCCAGAAACTGAATAAACCAAATTTTGGAAAGTGGATTTCATATATATATATATATATATATATATATATATATATATATAATGGATTTTAAAATGGATCCATTTCTATATATATAGAAATATTAAATATATAATATAGTATAAATATTTATATATAGATTAAAATATTTATAGTAAAATTTATAAAAAATATATAAATAAGTATATATATAATTATATATATATCTAATTTTTTTTTCACAGCAAGAAGGCTTTAAAGTTTTCAGGACTTTGTAATGTTGGGGCACATAATAGCCCCTGTTTCCTGTTTATCTGATATTTATAACAGATCCAATTTAGCAGTTCTGGACACCTCCTTCTGATGAAAACAAGATAAACAGGAGTTGGGACACCTGGGTGGCTCAGTGGTTGAGCGTCTGCCTTTGACTCAGGGTGTGATCCCAGGGTCCAGGATTGACTCCCACATCGGGCTCCTCAGAGAGCCTGCTTCTCTCTATGCCTATGTCTCTGCCTCTCTCTGTCTCTCATGAATAAATAAATAAAATCTTGGAAAAAAAGATAAACAGGAGTTTGAGAAGTGTAAGATGTGAGAGATGATTGTGTGGTATCAAATACAGTATATCCATCAAGTAAAATAGATGCATGTTCAATAATTGGTAAGATTCCTAGAAGTCTGCATATTGAACTTTATTTGTCAGTTTTAACAAAGTGATCCCAGTGATCCTGACATAAGAGAAGGTTGTTTCAAAAGTAAAGATGTACATGAGCCATCCTCTGCCATGTGCCAAGCGTGTTAGTCCAAGGCTTTGACCTCCTCTTGGTCTTCCTTATCTGACTTTAATATCACTTTCCTGTTGGCAGTAACATGAATCAGTTTTACTACACGGAACTTGGTAGTTGTGAACACAATATAGCATGGAAACAACTTTGGAAAGTCTCCCCAGCAAAGATTTACTGTCTTGGATTCTGACTATGCATTATATTTTGCCACCAAGTATGAACTTACAGGTGGGAGGAATGGCCATTATGATGGGAAGTGTGTTTTGAGGGTTTGGGACCCTAAATATATTTTGCTCACACTTCTGATTATCACTGATAATTGATTTCTTTGGATTACCCATTGTTCTTTCTAGTTAGACTGCCTTTAAAATGCAAGTATTCCTATGGTGGGCACTAAACATATTGATACTAAAACCTTACTATGATCATACTTTCTGACAAAAGGAGACCTGGATTATCCTAAGAAGATCTGTTAGAGGAGGATGGTAAAGGTGTATCTCTGTGTATAGGGGGTGTTGGGTGAACAAAGGATGGAGGGAGGAAAAAGAGGGAAAATTGAATTATAATTGTGTCTAAAATATTTCAAAAATTTAAAAATGTTTATAATGTACAGTATAAAAGCATCACCTTCTAAATTAGCTAATACTGAATTACATGATATTTAAAAAAATTTTTTTTATTTATTTATGATAGTCACACACACAGAGAGAGAGAGAGAGGCAGAGACACAGGCAGAGGGAGAAGCAGGCTCCATGCACCGGGAGCCCGACGTGGGATTCGATCCCGGGTCTCCAGGATCGCGCCCTGGGCCAAAGGCAGGCGCCAAACTGCTATGCCACCCAGGGATCCCTACATGATATTTTTGAATGAAAATTTTTTGTTACCAATATTTTTTTAATTCCTGCATGTAGTCAGTGTGCTAGGCACTTTGGGTGACCCAATTTCTCATTGAGCTTGCAAAATAGTTGAGAGGCAAGTCAAAAATATATGAGGGGTGCCTGAGTGGCTCAGTTGGCTAAGTGTCTCATCTTGATTTTGGCTCAGGTTGTGATCTCAGGGTGGTGAGGCTCTGTGCTAAACATGGAGCCTCCTTAATATTCTCTCTCCTTCTCTTCTCTCTCTCTCTCTGCCGGCCCCCCACTCTCTTTCTCAAAAAAATATAATGTAAGAGTTAATGAGTTAGTAATTATAGAATATGGCTGCAAAGTCCGGTGTCATTATTTGTTGAAAAAATGGTACAGATGGTATAAGAAGCTCAAGGGAGAAAGATGTCCCAGTGAAATGGAATGAAATCTAAGGCTTCCTGGCAAAGGAGGGAAAATGGGCAAGTTGATATACAAAAGGAATTACAAAAGACAAGCATGTAAAGAATTATCCGTCAAGCTGTGAAATAATGTTTTACTCTTAGGTGAATCAACAGGGGTGGTAGCAGGAATGTTCTGAGCATTCCTGTAAAAATATGCCCAGAAACCTACGGTGCCCAGACTTATCACTGATGCTATGTAAGTTCCAATCTTGACCCATTATTTGAATCAGATAAGTGCATCTTTCCATTGACTAGTTTTGCTTTACCCTTAGAAGCTGATTCAAATCATCTGGCTGAAAAACAAGAAATTAAACTGCTGAGAATTACATAGACAACACAGCCAGGTGATTAAATGATCTTTTCACTTCCTCCAAAACTTATTTTTTATTTTTAAAAAAGATTTTATTTATTTATTTGACAGATTGAGAAAGAGAGAGACAGCACAAGCAGCAGGAGTGGCAGGCAGAGGGAGAGGGAGAAGAAAAGTCCCCTCAGAGCAAGGAGCCTGACGTGGGGTCCTGGGACCCTGGGATCATGGGATCATGACCTGAGCTAAATAAAAGGCAGACGCTTAACTGACTGAGCCACATAGGTGCCCTTTACAAAACTTTTTAAAATTTGTGTGGACACATTTGTTTTTTAAGAGTATTACTTTGATAACATTAACTGGAGTCAGCCTCAATACCCAGTGAGATAGGAATAAAAATTCTATTACTCTCTGTTCTTCCCTGAATACAGCATGCACATATTTGTCAAAATAAGGTTGAGTTAGCTACATTGGTTTTCAGTCATAATACAAAAATGGAGAGATTAAAAAAATAAAAATGGAGAGATTTTTATTAGGGCTTAATGATGAAGTTGTGATAGCTGGTTTCCTTTAAACTCTTCTGGACCAAAAAAAAAAAAAAAAAAAAATCTCTTCTGGACCAAGTGCCTCCTCCTGCTCCAGTGCTATTCCACGGATAAGGCAATTAACCCCTCACTGTGATGCTAAAGTTCTTGCTACATGAACCTAGATTTAGTGACCTTAGGGATGCCTTTAGTGGTATTGGAGCTGGTAATCTAAAAGGCCTGCTAAATTGCAACAAGTGAGGGACTGAGTGTGGGGAGAGTGGAGGCTGAGAGACCATGCTGGCAGGTGAATGTGTAGCCCAGAATGGGAAAGAAGGGGAAGGGAATGTGTACAAAGATTCAGGCTTGGGGCACCTGGGTGGCTCAGCGGTTGAGCATCTGCCTTTGGCTCAGGTCGCGATCCTGAGGTCCTGGGGTAGAGTTCTGCATCAGCCTCTTAGAAGGGAGTCTGCTTCTCCCTCTGCCTATGTCTCTGCCTTTCTCTCTGTTTCTCTCATGAATAAATAAATAAAATCTTAAAAAAATATTTAGGCTTGATCTGCTGTCCTGTTTGACCATTTTATGCTGGCCTATTGCACAGTTATACAAGTGGGCACAAAAGCTTTAATGTGGATGAGGAGTTTTATTCAAGGCGAGAAATCTGTAAATACAGTGGGTGGGTTTTTAGAAGATTTGAGGGGAGGGGGCAAAGGGAATAGGAAAAAAAGTGCTTCTCTATGGGGGGATCTAGAAAGGTAAGAATATTTTTGACAAAAATAAACTTACTTTGCTTTGTGTACTTTGGCTTTTGGCTTATAAGGAAGGGAAACCAGTTCTTTCTAAAAACAAAATAAAACAAAACTCAAAAGAGGAAAATTTTTACTTGCACGGACTGACATTTCTTACTTGAAAAAAAAACGGAGGTAGAATTATCACAGTGTTTACACAGACTATCTTCTTAAATCTGGAAACCCTGGGATTAGAAATATTCCAGATTAAAGATATTTGGGGTTCATTCAGGGGAGCAGGTGTTTGTACACCTGTATGTTTATAGGGTGCTATTCTTGTTTTACTATTTTTATTATGTTTCTCTTCATTCAGCATTTGTTTTTGTATGGTGTAAACAAGATCAATCATTGTAAAACAAAGATTAGCACTGCAGTAGCCCATGTGAGTATCTGACAGTTTTTATCAAACAGGACACCAAACCTGCTGGCATTTCTATCCTAGCAGAGCTGCATACTCTGGAGATTTCTTTGATTTCTCAGGGATGACCAAAGTGCCTGATGTCTATACCCTGCCCCCACACCAGTGGATAGATGGCTCTGGACCATGAGTATTTAGATTTATGGGGAGAATCCATAAAACCTTTGAGGATTTGCCATAGTTCCCTCCTCTAGATAGATTTATTTGGATGCCTCCTCAGTCTCACCGAGATCCTTTCTTCTCTTTGTTTTCTTAAGAGTTGTAGAATCTCATCTCTCCTTTTAGCCTGTTTAAAGGGGAAAAAAAAAGTGGGTGAGTTTCTTGACTCAGTAATACAGATTTTGTCTGTAAAGAGTAGATTTTTTTTTTCGCATTTCCTTCTGGTATTCTTTGGTAGAATTTTAAAATATTTGTTTTCCATGATAGACTTATACTTTTCTAGTGTATTCCAGAGAATCCTACAAAATAATGTGGTTTTGATACTCAGTGGAAGAGTGTTTTCTTGTGCCCATCCAAAATCTAATAAAAAATTGTATTAAGACTTTATTACTACATGAACCATGCTAAGAACTTAATGTACATTATGCCATTATTTTCTTTTAATAACTCAGAAGTTATTATACCACTATTACCCCATTTTACAAAGGAGGTAACTAGGTTAAGTAACTTACCCAAGCCATGAAATGACAGAACTGGCGTTGATCCCAGCTCTGTTTGACAACAAAGCCCCAGCTATTGTCCACCCCACTAAATTGCCATTAAATGATAAGATCAGCAAACTCAAACAGCGTGCCACAACCCAAGTCCGTGACGGGACGACTCTGAGTAGCTTACGCATGGACTCTCATTCTCTCATCTCTCTGCCTTCGATATTGAGACATGGACACTCTCGGGTAAGTTTTCCTAAGTGTAAAAAACTAATTTACTGCAGGCATGAAGATTGATAAATCTATATCTCAAGATATAGACTATAAAAAAAGAGACAAAAATAGGTCCAAAAATTCTTTCATAAAATCTGGTTATTTTCAGTTTTAGAAAGCCAGGCAGAAAATCACATCTGGGGACGCCTGGGTGGCTCAGCAGTTGAGCGTCTGCCGTCTGCCCAGGGCGTGATCCCAGAGTCCTGGGATCAAGTCCCGCTTCAGGCTCCCTGCATGGAGCCTGCTTCTGTCTCTGCCTGTGTCTCTGCCTCTCTCTCTCTCTCTGTGTGTCTCTCATGAATAAATAAGTAAAACCTTAAAAAAAAAAAGGAAAATTGCATCTGCAGTATTTGAGGACAAAAGAAAAACTTGAGAATCAGACAAATAAAATTTGTACCTTCAAGTGGCCAAATAAAATGAAAGGAGCTCTGTTTAGACCCAGGCTAGAAGCAAGAGATAACTGAGCATAGATACAGATTTGTTGTAGCCAGGTAAAAATTCGAAGTCATCCGTCCATTCAAGTTTACTAAGTACTACGCTATTTTCCTGGGGCTGCCCTAACAAAGTACCATAAACTGGCTGACTTAAGACAACAGGTATGTATTGTCTCACAGTTCTGGATGCTTGAAGTCCAAAATCAAGGTGTTGGCAGGGCCATGGTCCCCACTGAGATGTGTAGACGTGTAGGGGAGCCCTCCTTTGCCTCTGGTGGTTGCTGGCAATCTGTGGCATCCCTTGCTGGCAGCTGTGTAACTCCAAACTCTGCCTGCATAGGCACATTCCTTTCTCCCTGTGTGTCTCTGTCTTCTCGTGGCTGTCTTAGAAGGACACCCCACCCTCCTCCAGCAATAACTTACCTTAACTAGTTCCATCTATAGCAACTCTATTTCCAAATAAGGTGACATTCTGAGGTCTTGGGGATGAGGACTTTAAGGTATTGTTTTAAAGGGGAGACACATTGCAAACCATAAGCAGTACTTCTGATGTAACATTTCTGTGCTAGGGGCTGTACAACGCAATTCCTGCCTGCAAGGTCATTACAGAGAATGGTTTCAAATGTGCTACAATGCAGATGGTATAGGATGTAATCCAAGACCCGAAGAGAGACCCTTAATTCAGACCAGGGTGAGTATGTATCTACGGGGAGAAAGATGTCCCAGAGAAGACAAGCTTGTTCCTACAAATGGTAATCACCAGAGGAGCAATAGAGACAGGATGGTGATACGAGACTTTGAGGCAGCAGAAAGAGCCTGTACAGAGCCTTGGAGGCAGCTGCATCACTAAGTGGTTTCTCAGGAGGAGTCCTCCGCCCGGATGCCTGCAGGAGAAGCTACTGATCTTGGGCGTGCTCCACAGAGACACTTGAGAGGGGAGCCCATACAGGGCAGGAGCAATCAGCAGCTGGGGCAGGTGCACCTAGGCCTTGGCTTTGTCTCATTTTGTTCATGTCCTATGATCTTGCCTTTTATAAGTCTATGAAGTTTTTATTTTGGGACAGGATTTCTACCTTTTACTTGAATTTTAGGTCTCATATACCACTGCTATTGAAAGAGAAATAATCCAGGGTACTTGTAAATACCAAGCTAAATTTCATACTTGTTTACTTGCTAGGGACTGAATAAAATAATGTCTGTGGATAAGGACTTCGGATGTTTTCAACGTAGGGATTCAGAGTTGGTGTCCTTTCTAGCTTTTCCATTACACATGTACTCAGTGGGAATTAACTGCTCCCATACTGTGATTCCATAGCACTTTATACCTTTTAGGTATTGCTCTTACTTTCCTTGTTTTATCTCATAATTGCTACCATGACTCTTTCAGAGTCTATTCATCATTTTATCCTTCCTTAGGGCTTAGCAGAGCCTTGCAGATGATAGTCAATGAATTTTTGTTGAACTGATTGTGGCATAATGTCTGAATGAAATCATTGCACTAATACACACAATTATTAGCCTAAAAAATAAAAAAAAAGAAAAAAGAAAAATGTTTTAGGTAGTGAAATTAAACAATGGATAGATCTTAAAATCCTAAGAAAATCCTAAAAAAAACCAAAACTATGTGATTATTTTGTGTGTAAAGCACACCTAGGCCTGGGTAGCCATAGGCAAATTATATTGTTGTAACACTTCTAATATACAAATAGACACATATTTAGTTACAAGATCTAAAATACTATTAAAATTAAAAATTCGTTTGTCTTGAAGAGAGAGATGCATCTATTCTATGATTGGTGCAGACCAAATGCATATTCATGGTAGGAGAGTCAGACCAGTCACTGGACTCTGGAGTTTAGCCAGCACTGAGGCACCAGCATCATGGTGTAGAGTGAGTTCTCCTGGTATGTGTAACCTGACCAAGGGCTCCGATTATAGACTTTTTTTTTTTAAGTGGGGTAAAGAGCAGTTGGTTGGGGAACCTCTAGAACCTGACACAGTCTGTGGCTCCTAGCATCATCCCCAAACCCCTGCTCACCTTGTCCTCTGGCCCTTTTTTTCTTGGTAAAAAATAAACAGATTTTATGTTAAAAAAATGCATTTTTTTTCTTTTGACTTCAGGTCCTTTTTTATTATAATGGCTTTTAGTACCAAACCAGTTTTATAATGCACCAGAAACAAAGCTTTCAAATATGATTTGATTTCTGCTTCCTGGACATGTTTCCTGGGAATGAATAAGAAAACTGCTGTAGGCAAAATGTCACCAGAACAAAAACAGTGCCAACTATTCTAATAAATCTCTGCTTTGATAACTAAATAAATTCAGTGATAAGAAAAAATCCTTACAATTTACCTTGTTAGTAGGGATAAATGATTTACTTGTTAATTTTATAACAACAGGGATGCCTGGGTGGCTCAGCAGTTGAATGTCTGCCTTCAACTTAGGGCATGATCCTGGGGTCCTGGAATTGAGTCCCATATCAGGCTCCCTGCATGGAGTCTCTGCCTGTGTCTCTGCCTCCCTTTCTCTGTGTCTCTCATGAATAAATAAATAAAATCTTTAAAAAATTTTTATAACAACAAAAGAATAACCATTTCTAATCACAGTGTTTTGATTATGGCCATTAATGGAATATTATATTTACAAGGGGTTTTAGTAATAAAATTTATTAATTCTTAAAATAATAATATAGGGAGATCAGAATTTTAATATTTTAACATAATATTTTCTTATATACTTATACATTTAATTTATATTATTTAGGGCAGCCCAGGTGGCTCAGTGGTTTAGTGCCGCCTTCAGCCCAGGGTGTGATCCTGGAGATCGGGGATCGAGTCCTACGTTGGGCTCCCTGCATGGAGCCTGCTTCTCCCTCTGCCTGTGTCTCTGCTTCTCTCTCTGTGTGTGTCTCTCATGAATAAATAAAATCTTTTAAAAAATTTATATTATTTATATTATTTATATACTATTCTTGAAAAAAATCACTTATGGAATAAAAATTGATTCCAGGAAATTAGGCTATGATAATATAAAAATTTAATATCGCGTAGATGGGGATCCCTGGGTGGCGCAGCGGTTTGGCGCCTGCCTTTGGCCCAGGGCGCGATTCTGGAGACCCCAGATCGCATCCCACGTCAGGCTCCCGGTGCATGGAGCCTGCTTCTCCCTCTGCCTATGTCTCTGCCTCTTTCTCTCTCTCTCTCTCTCTCTCTCTCTCTCTCTCTCTCTGTGACTATCATAAAATAAATAAAAATTAAAAAAAAATTAATATCGCGTAGATGGTTAATGAATTTTAGTGTCACATCAAGGATTCTTAGTTCTCTCTTTTTGTTTTTTTAGAGCCAAATGACTTGGGTGGCCACACAGATTATGGAGCCAAACATTTGGGTTTGAATCTCAATTCTGCTGTATGATTAATGGCAAATTAATACCTTCACTATCCCTCCTGGTTTCTCCTTTCTTCCCTCCAACTGTAATCACTAATCCACAGGTTAGAGGTTTATGATCCCGAGTAAATCCAAGAGCTACTTTCTGAGCCTTGAATATCTCATTTCTAAGGAAAGTTGTTGTGAAAATTAAAGATCATGCAAACACTTCTTAACATACTGCATGGTATTTGGTAGATATTTAATAAATGGTAGCTATTATTATTATTAGAGAAAACTTTCCTTCTAATGTTTTCAAAATGTGGAAGAGTAGAAAAAAGAGAAGGATAGATTGCCTACCCTCTGTGCACAGCTGTGGAGGGTACTGATGCCTCCACTTCTGGCCTATGGACGAGCTGGTGGATAGAGTTGGGTGGAAGAAAGGGTGAAATGAGGAGGGATACCCAAGAGATTATTTGCCCTTGAGTATGTAGTGCAAATTCCTCTGCCCACAAATTCTCCAGTGTATTATAAGCTTTCTCCTTAATCTTCAGTTATATAAAATA